AAGGAAAGGATTCTGATTTCAACCGTTGCGTATATTAGCTGCAGCATATGAATCCAGATGCTATGACTGGAAAAATTTGATTGACAGATGACCGATTGGCCGATTTTGGGTGTACAAGCTGATGTATAACTAACTGACCTGCATAAGATAATGAAAAAAAACCCAACAGATTTTAAGACAGGGTTTTTTTTCTTAATATATATCCATTTTCTAAATTTTGGGACAATATTGTCTGATAAAGAGTACATTTATATACATGTTTAAGGCAGAAGACATTTAAATATGACTTCCCTATGACTTTAAACAAATGACCAAACACTTCTTTAGATCAACTCCAAACCACTCACCCCATTATCTTTCCATCATGCTAATTACAACATCGGTTCAGATAAAATACTCCAGAGGTGAGGCGGGTAATGTCGTATGAGAGGGATGGATGCTTCATGCATGCTGCAGGTTAAGTCCACTGAAGCCACACTAGAAGGAACTGTTGATTTTCCATTACATAGAGAGTCTTTACCAGAGGCAGAGGTCCCAGAGGGATCCGCTGTCACTGATTCATTCCTACCCCACACTGCTCCACTGCTCCCCGAAGGGGATGGGTTAAATGCAGTGAATTTCATTGCTCTGTACTTGTGACAGTGGAATGATAACAAAATGCTGGAAAAAAATTTTATTGAGTATTTTTACTCTTAAAACAAGATAACTGGATAATATGCATTTGAAATGAGACAATGGAATATTTTTTTTCTTATTTTTTATGTAAACTGTTGTTCCAAGTGTCTCACTCACCTCCTCTATTCAAGAAAAAATTCACTTATTTATGTTTGTGTTTTTTGCCTTACCACAGTAACACTGGAGACCACCTAAATGCTGTTTTGGTTGGGTTTTTAATTACTGAACCAAATGTTATTTCTGTATACAGACATCTAGACATTTGTGCAGCCCTGCTCTGTTTTAATCCAGTCAATTAAACGCAGCCATTGTTCTGTTTTCAGAGGACTGCAGCCAAAAACTACATTAGAGAGCAGCCCCTGATGGGATCCTGACTGTTAGCCCGTCATTAATCACAGCATGCCCTGCCTAGCTACGCACACAGGAACACACACATTTCACAGAGCTGTGAAGTTAATCGAGAGATAATGTGAAACGTGTTTCCTTAAGTAACACCCACAGTGTGCGCAGAGTTAACAGGAAGCCATCAAAGGAACAATAGCTTTTAAGACGCTGCGTTTTTACATGTGTGCTGCCAGTAGGAACACCTCCGGTAGAGACGGAGGAGTCTGCCCCGACCCTGAAGGGACCGAGTGGCTCAGAGGCCACAAAGGATCCCGTTTTAGTCTAAAGACTATTACAATAAACCTCATGCCTGAATTCAGGTGTGTTTTCATCATAGGAACCAGAAACAAGGCTAGTTTTCTGAGATCCACTCCCACCCTCCCACCTCGCCCCCACCCTCTCTGTGCTTTTTCTGCGTTGACCAGTTAGAAGTAATGACTGGTGTAAAAGTTTACTGCAGACAAAGAACCTGACAGGGAGGCGCAACATTTCATCCAGGAACGCTGGGATGAGGGAGGATTCTAACATTTCAAACATTATGATTTAGTCGATATAACTTATAGGTCTTTAGCTTTCGGTTGTTAAAGGTAAGCTCTGTTTTTACACCTCGAAGCTTTCTCACCTAACCCTTTAAATAACACTTCATAATGATTATGTATTAAATAACCAGGAGACATGAAAATAGATTCTGATAAAAATTGTAATGTTGCTTAGAAGGCAGCTGCTTATCAACCGGGCTCACGTCTCGTGAAGTGACCCCGAATCGCAAGTTAAGAAGCATTTTATGCAACGCCACATCATCACATCATACATGTTTGTAAATGAGGAGACATCCATGGCTCCAGCCTTACCGAAATATTCCACTTTGTTCTTAGATCAAGGACTCGGCTCTCATTCCATTTCCAAATCTTTGCCACTTGCATAAGGAAGGTGATAACTGTATAGAGACAGGGGAAGTGTCTCTATACAGTTTATAGAGAGTCTATCTAGTGTCTAACTAGATAAACTACTGGGGAAACATCAGTTCTGACATGCAACAAGCAGCTAATATTAGGGTTTAACACGCTCACAGGAAGTCAGATTGACTTCATGTGACTCCGCCTCCGATGTGACCATCTGCTGAAGTGTCTGTCTCGTGTTACGCGTTTTTCTTGTGCTGAGGTTTTTTTTATATTTCAAACTATCCTGTCAAGGATAAAGAGTCAAATATTCTTTTTTTCTTGTCTCTACCCCAGTGTAGCTCCTATCTTTCCACAGAGATAAAGGCAGCGCTATAGGTAACCGCCTGGGACCTGGGACGCCATACGAATGCGCCAAAGGCAGCGTTCTGCGGCACGCATGGCCTCAGTAGAACCATCCCCCCTCTCAGCCCCCCCCATCCCATCCCAATGCATGTGATGAACGATTTGTACTGAAACTGAAATCTCAATCGCAATGTAAATTGTAGTTGACAATAAAGTTGATTGATTCAACACTCCCCCATCATAATCCTAATGCAGTGAAACAGAGTTTACTAAATTTAGCCACCAGTAACAGAGAACTTAATTCTTCTTTCAAAGCACTACTATGATTAAAGCATGTGTTTAATTAAGGCCCAAAGTATAGATCTTAAAGCCTCCTCTGTTTGTGAATTATATTAAATGTGTCATAAAATGGGACAGATGGACCCAGTATTCAAGGTGAGACAGCCAGTAAGAAAGTTCAAAATGTTTATTAATATAACAGAACTGGACAGGACAAAGGCGCAGAGCTGAGAGCTGAAGGCTCACGGCGACTGCAGGAGGGGGGCGGGTTGTCTCAGGTTGTGGGAGAAACACAGGTCAGTGACCACGATCATCTGACAGGAGATGATTATCAGAGTGAGTCACTTACGTGGTTTAACAATTCAGTCCAAACCCTGAAAGAGGTGCAATCCAGCCGCTGGACTGCCAACTGAAGCGGCGCGCATCACATAGAGTGTCGCCAGTGCTGCAGCCTCGGAGGACTTGCAGGAAGCTTATCAGAGCAGGCAGGAATAGTGCATGAAACCCTGATGACCTCTGCACGATCAAAGGTTCCGACCCAAACAGGAACAGAGTCATCTGGGCTTCCAGGAATCCTCAGAGCGCTCAGGCAGGTTCAGAATCCAGAGTCAGATGGAGTCCAGAGGCGTGACCAGACGGACACGAACAGATGCAGAACAGACTCAGATGCAGACGGGCAGGCTCAGTGGTCAAGGTAACAGAGACAGGACGTCAAAACCAGGATGAGCAGGACTGTAAACTGGTCTCCTCCTTGGAGCCAGGCTTACAGGGATAAAACTGATCCTCCCCGCGTTCTGAGCCAAAACGCTGAGGACTCCGCGGGGAAGGATCAGGACACGATCAGGAGATGAGCTAGACACAAAACCCACTTTCCTCTGGCCGCCAGGAACCAGGATGTAAACAAGGAATAACTAGAACACACTGGATAGACTAATAGAAAACAAATAATGATCGCTCGGGCTGAACCGAATATCAGGCTACAGATACAGGTGGATAAGATGAGTGATTATTAGAAAATCTGGCAGTTAGGCAGGTGAGTGAAATGAACAATTAATGTGAGCAATCGGGCCAGATCATGACAAAATGGTCTTTCTTTAAGAACAAAGAGGCTTAAAGTTTAAATAATGTAAATTCATGAAGACATTGATTGTACTGCATGCCATGGTGAAAGAGGGATGCTTACTCTGGCAGGGATCGTCTGATGATGCTGTGGACTTGTCTGTAAATGTCCAGTTTGGACAGACAGCTGCACTGGGTGTGGTTGGCCACGCTGATGGTGACAGGTTTGGTGCCCTGGGTCAGCGGCACTGTGATCTCAAAAAGCTGCAGAGAAGCAAAGAGACGGGACAGAGATCAGCGAGATGAACAAAGGGCTGAACAGGACTGGATGAAGGTCATCACTGCTGCTATCATTTCAACTTTAAACTAGCATTGGCTGGCCATTTCAGGGCTGTAGAGAACTGCACCACTAGTCAAACATCGACAGAATTAAAAAAGAAAGAGTGAAAAATAACTAATAAATGTTAGGAATTTAGATGTGCAAGTTAAACACACTTTAGTGGTTACAAGCAGTATTACGACAAAATAAACACAATATTGTCAACATTGAGAAATCCCACCATTCAGAGAGTGTTTATTATAGCTTGTTCTTGGGTGATAAAAAGTCTGAATATAACAGATAGACCAATGTGTTTCGGTCTGTTTCAGTCTAACCTAAGGCTTTTGACAAGTTATTTAAAAATAACCCCAGGGAAGTTAGGTTTGATGTTGTTAAGTGTTGAGGAGAATCAGCAACAATTACAGAATATGGTGTAAAAACAGACGCTTGATCACCTGAAATAACCTAAAATAACCTAAAATAAGGACACGTGATGTGGATTTGTAATGGTTATAAAAGTTTTATTCTTAAAGGTAGGAGCACTGGGGCTGTGGCTTTAAGCAAGCACAATGACATGGGAGGTCTCCAGCATAGAGTCATCTTCCATCAGAAAACAGACAGGGGTCCGTTTTACAAAGCAGGTTTAACAAAATCAGATTCAAATTTACAACTGTTAAATGATTTAGCCAAAATTCAGGAACTTTGAGTATTTCAGTTTCACAATGACTGCTATGAATTAGTTCAATCAACTCTAATTAGGTCAGTTCAGAGTTTAACACGTCAGTAGCAAGTATGAAAAGCCATTATCAGTGGAGTCCCGAATCTACAAGTCACCATGACAACAGGCAACAGGAAGTGCTTATTTCACCTCACTGGAACTAGCAATGTTAATGAAATTTTAAAATGTGTTTAAAGGGCAGAGAAACAGCGCTACAGCTGCAGAGGAGAGGAATATGGCGAATGAGAAGATTGATGCTCCAATTAATACGTACGTTTATATGAAGTTAACAATGGCAGGCTGATTTGACATTTATTAAAAGCACTCTCCTATGTTGTTCCATTTGTAGAACACTAAAATGAGATTATTCCTGATCAAAATCACACTCCTAGACTGACCTGGAATAACATATTTTCTAAATTACTTTTTTTGCAGCAGAAACTGAATTTCAGAAAGTAAAACCCCAGAAAATGATTCTTGTAAGAATTAGGCTTTATATACCTAGAAAGCAAGAATTAGAAATCTCCTGTCCAGGGGTGATGCTGAGAAACTAGTCCATGCATTTGTTACTTCAAGGCTGGACTATTGTAATTCTTTACTATCAGGAAGTCCACAAACTGTAGTTAAAAGCCTTCAGCTGATCCAAAATGCTGCAGCCAGAGTTCTGATGAAAATGAAAAAGAGAGATCATATCTCTCCTATCCTGGCTTCTCTTCATTGGCTTCCTGTTAAATCCAGAATAAAATTTAAAATCCTCCTTCTCACATATAAAGCCTTAAATGGCCAAGATCCATCTGATATCAGAGATCTGATTGTTCCTTATGTCCCTAACAGAGCACTTCGCTCTCAATCTGCAGGTTTACTAGTGGTTCCTAGAATTTCTAAAAGTAGAATGGGAGGCAGATAACCTGAGCCAGTCTTATAGTTAGAGTGGCTCAGGTTATCCTGAGCTATCTCTATAGTTATGCTGCTATAGGCTTAGACTGCTGGAGGACATAGGGACCCCCATTTAATCATTCTATCTCCAGTCTCCCACTCTGCATAATCATTTGTCAATCTATTCTATCCAGAATCTTCAAGTGGAAAAGTCTAGTTTCACCTGGTTTGAATTCTCTGAAAAATCTTATTGAAGGAACCTAACCAATCCATTAATAATATGATAATTAATCGATTAATCAAAACAATATTCAACGGTTAGCAAAATAGTGGTAAGTTGCAGACCTAATTATGACATATGTATGATACATTTTTAAATATGTTGTGTGTGGAAATGTTCTTCAATCAGTACGATCTTATATTGTCGGCTGTGTAGGTTTTTCTATCACTGCAGTGAAAGGACCTGACAAGCAGACAGACAGAGACAGCGCTGGAGGAGCTTCGGAGGGCAGTGGATGCGCTTGTGCAACTTGGATAACTGTTCAAAACAGGAGATTTTATTCAGAAATAGGAGTTTTTCCAAATGTTTTGGTTTGAATCATTTCCTTTTGTACACTAGTTCTCCAGCCTGTAAGAAAACCCGCCCACTGAAGACACCAGCTGAGTCTCAGGTAGACGAGGGGCTGTTATTGTTCCTCACCTATAAATACATTACGGAACAGTGGAAGGTACAGTTTTAGACAACCCAATTTATTGACTGTTAAATATGCTGGATTTATTCCATCTTATTTCAGGGTTCCCACCAGGGTTAATGAGAGGTGGATAAAGATTTTTTTTCTTTTTACTTATAAACAGAAACACAAAAACTATGCTGGGCAGCTCAGATGAGTGGTATTAAATGTCTGCAAATACAGAAATGTGATCAGTTAAAAATAAGCTTCCTTTATTTTTTTCTGGCTCTGGTGGCCGATAGCCATCTATGGCTGAACTAATCATCTGATTTGCTCTCAGTGTAGTTCTATAAAATAACAATGTAGTTCTATAAAATGAAAGAACTGAGGAACATGGTGGGACATATTGTAATGGGTTCCATTTTTTGTTTTGACCCCATGAATCACTACTATGATGTTCTGATGGCTTCAATAAAACCAACAGCTGAAAGGTTTCATACCCTAACAGAAGATGTCTTGTTTGATACATGGGATCAGACCTAAAACAGCTGCAGGTTTAGTAAAGAGCATAAAGATACCGACGTGACAGACCACTCTACTTGAGGTCTATGTAATCCAGATGTAAAAAGCTGTTTGCCAGGTTTGTTCCTGAGATAAAATGCTTTGTTAAGCTTTTATCATCAGCCCAGAAAAATGACCATGCAAGAAGGACTGAGATGTTTATCATTCTTCTCTTTATTTCAAGTTTTAATATAAGGTTTTGATGCAGCCTATTTCAGTTAACAGCCACAAAGTGATGATAGATTAATGAGACGATTTCGGACAATTAAAAAAAGAAACAATAAAAACCCAATAATCTCCATAAAAATGTGTTTCTTCTTAATTGTTGAGATATATACTAAAGCAATATACTAGAATAAACAAATCATTGACAATGAGGGTGGTAGGACCAAGACGAGCACGGCTGATCAGAGGTCAGGGTAAATACTGAGTATTGTAGATATGCATGCCTCCCTTTAAAACTCTTTTGGCTCTTTTGGAATATCACCACATGAATGTATTCAGAGCTGGGACCAGATTATTATTTTCTAAGCATGTGAGGATTGCTGAAAACCTAACTGTGACTAGCGACACTGAACGCTCCAAAGACAACGACTGATGCAGGCTGTTTACCCCAGTATAAATCCTGCTGTTTAAAAACACTTTTGTAGAAGTTAGAGAATCAACTGAAGCTTTTTACTCCAGTAAAAGTGTAAAAGTCCAATTTTTAAAACTACTAACTTAAAAGTCAAAGTAATGCAGTATAATGTTAAGGCCAGAAGTTTTACTGCACTCCCTATCAAAGGAACAATTTTCTACAATTCTGGATAATGACTTCCTTAGATGTCAGTTTTTGCCCAGTTTTATAACTAATGGCAGCAGTGTCAAAGTTAACTTTGCATCATCTTAAAAAACTATTCATTTTGGTATTTGGTGAGCAACAAGTTGGGGCAGCACTGAGCCCAAACAAAGAAATTAATTGTCTGCACTAAACTTATTATTTTGATGGTATTATTTTTTTTAAACACCAACAGGCCATAATGAAAATAAGCTTAAAAGAAAAAAAAAAACTAATGTTAGGAATCCAGTGTGTGTGGGCTATTTGTATTTTGTGTTCTCTCTGTCCACCACCAGGCGGCGCCCTGTTCTCGTTGGTCCTCCCACACACCTGTGGCTGGTTGTGCCCATTACAGAGGATTATTTAGCGGTGGACTGCCACTACCTCGACGCCAGAGTATTTGCCAGTTTTGGGTACTCTAGCCAAGCAGAGTTTAGCTGAGTCAAACTGAGTCTTTGTCTCTCTGAGTTCTAACCTTGTTTTTGTCCTTGCCTTTTCGGCAGGAAGTCATCCTGCAAACTGGATTTTTGGCCTTCTCCCCCTGGAAGGATTGTTTTGAGCTTCACACTGAGCAGGGGATTAATCTCCACACGACCCGTTCAAGTTCTCCTGGAAATCTAAGTGGCAGTCCGCTCCATTGCTCCTCAAGGAACCAATCAAACCAGAAACCTGTCTGCCCTCCAACAAGCCCCCCAATCTCTGGATAAACCCACACCGACTGGATTCTGGGAAGAGAACCCTTTTCTGGTAACGTGAGTCCCGTTCATCTCTGATTTTTGCAAGACGTTGTTCAAAGTTCCCACGGACCCTGAACTAACCTCTGAACTTCCCTTCTCGCTTCCAGTTCACCAGCTCTCTGACTTACCCTGGATCAACCTTATTGATTATTTTAATAAACCTGTTAAACTTTTACTCTGGTTCTCTGAGTGGTTTCCTGCTTGTGGGTCAGATCTCTTAAAAACATCATGGCAACTAATGCGTGTATTTTTAAAATATAAGAAGTAGAATGTAAAGATAATTGTAAAAAAAAATGTTAGGAGTACAAGTAAAAATTTAAAATCACTCCAGTAAAGTACAGATTGCCAACATTTCTACCAAAGAAAGGTAAAGAAGTATTTGTACTTTGTTACTTGACACCGCTGCTTCTTTTTGGCCCATTGACTGCAGAGTTTTGTGGAAAGAGAGAGATGCAGCTAGCTCAAAGATTCATGCCAGCATATGGAAGTTAGCACTTTTTCACACAAAGGTTACAGTAAAGTCCCGCAGAAATGGACTCCAGAAACACAAGCTTCCAAGGCCATG